GGAGACGAAAGAAACTTTAAAACTTTAAACCGTTTTAAAAAAAATTTATTTCCCAAAGTTTCCTGCCTTTGATCATCACAGGAATTTATTTAATTTCAGGGTGTAGTCAGATAGGGGACTTAGATGAGAGGGCAACACAGAACTAAAGTCAATGATACTGTTAGACTTAATAGTACGATAAGAATATTGTATATATGCACACACAAACACACATATGCCTCTCAATAACACAATAAACACAATGTATACCTATCAATTCCTAAAGAACCAAAATATATTTATACACACTATAGCAAACTCTTTCCCTCCCTCCCTCCCAAAATTCCTCCCTCTCACACTGCCTCTCTCTATATATATACATATTATATGTATATATAACATTCTTATATATGCATTCATATCTGTGCATTCCTGTATGTATACACATATGTACATGCATTTATACACACACACACACACACACACACAAACATATATAGGATATATAGAAGTCATTTTTCATACATTCATAAAAATTCCTACACTTTTAAGAAGCATGTTGATATATTCCAACAAAATAACAGATGTATACATATATATGTGTATGTGTGTGATTATGATATTTGATATTCAGTAAATGTTTATTAAATGTCGATTATGTATATGATTTTATGCTAAATTCTTTGAAAACAGCTTTGTGAAAGACAAACCTCCTCTTTCCCCTCAAGGTTCAGATTCAGATCATTAACATTTTAAATAATATGCTATAGAATAATCTAATTGAATAACTTTTAATGAATATTTGAAGTGACTGCTTTAAGTTGGTTGGTCAAAGAAAGCCCTTAAGCAAAGGGGACCATTGATTAATACCTAAATCAAGAGAAGTATATGAAGAAATGATGTGAAGATATTTTATAAAAAGGGTGCAAAAAAAAAGGAAGAATAAATGAAAATGTATTGACATGGGAATAAATTTGACAGGGTCAATGGACTAAAAGAATTTCTGTCAAGCTGGAACCTCTTACGTAAGAATAGTGAAGAGATTTTTACATCAGAAATGTATTTATTTAGAGATCTTCATAGAATAATTTAGGATTTAGGATTTTATTTTAAACAAATGGGAAGCCAAAATATAATTTTAAGGAGAAGATGGAAGTGATTTGAACGACACTTCACATAGGGAGTAGGATATATAGAAGTTAGCTTTCATTGTCACATAATTTGGCTAAACCATCAGAGCTGTTAGTATTTGATAAACCTTCTCACACTCTAGCAAAGAACAAATAAGCCTAAGCTTCCATATTCTTCAAACAGGACATGTTGGGTATCAGAAGATATTAATCCCTTTATCTCTCAGCTCGGATTTGCAGAGTCTGATGACTGAAGCTTATGAACATGAGATTTTCTGTCCAAGACAAACTGAATCTGATGACATATTATTCCATAGCTTGACTGGTCACATGATTTATTACTGAAACAAGGACATTTTTGAAAGTACCAGGATGCTATGTATTAAGCTAAGAAGTATTATACCATGTAAATATTTACTGCAGTGGTATTAGGGACTATTAAAAATAGAGAGGGTTTTCTGGTTCAGGTGTCCAAAAACCACAGCATGTTTCCCAAGATATAACTGTACAGAATGTTAGAGGGGCAGGAAGATCAGATATAGCCTTTGGCAAGGATGACTTCGGGTAGAAGTTTGAAATTTGAAAAGGCTATATATTGTATGAATCCAACTATATGCCAGTCTGGAAAAGGCAAAACTTGGAGACAATAAAAAGTATCAATCAGTTCCAGGGTCATGGGAGGAAGGAGGGATGAATAGAAGTAGCACAGAAGGTTTATAGGGCAATGAAATTGTTCTATATGATAATATAATGATGAATACATGCCATTATGCATTTGACAAAACCCACAGAATTTTCAACATCAAGAATGGACCATAATGCAAACTATGGACTCTGAGGATAACAGTATGTCAGTGTAGGTTCATTGATTGTAACAAATGTACTACCCTGGTATGGGATGTTGACAGTATGTGTAGGGGATGGGGAGGGCTGCATGTATGTAAGGTCAGGGAGCATATGGGAAAAATCTATACTTTCCCCTCAGTTTTCATGTGAACATAAAACTGAACTAAAAATAAAATGTGTTATTATAAATGAATGAATGAACAGATAAATAAGCATTTCAATTGAATATCGAGCAGTAGTGAATCAGTTCAATAAGTTTCAATATAATCATACCATGGGATATTTTGTGGCAATTATATTAGATATTGATAATGGAGTTATTCACAATTTATTCATAGTCATAAAGTAAAATTTGAGTAAGTAGACAATAAATAATATGTAATCTTATTTAAAATATATGTTGAATTTTAAGCAAATTTTAAAAACTCTTATGCTCTTTGATCCTAATATTTTCTTTCAACTACAAAGTAAAAGAATGGTAAATGGCATGAAAAGATAGAGAAGTTGGTCACATTGGCTAACTAGAGAGAGGCCTTTGAGAATATGTGAGTTATGGAGAAAGCTAAACACTATTCAAATGTTCATGCAAAAAAAAACCAAACAAACCAGTAAATAGAGCCTGCTGACATATATGTGAAATTATTAATACATAATTCACATATATCCAAAATACATAGTTTTATGAAAGGGAGATCATTGTGTTTTCTGTCAGTATAGTAGATTTATAAGTTATTTTTACTTTCTTCATTTTACCTTTCCAGTGTTCAGATTTCTCAAACAAATATTTTATTTGTACAATTAGAAAAAATATAGTCATTGTGAAGAGATTAGAGACGATTTATATCATATTAAGCAGCATAACAGATTCTACATTTCTCCTCAAAATTACCCTAATTTTTAAGTAGTTGCTGTGAAGAAAAATATTATTATTTAATGGGAAATCTATATGTAGATTTTTAGCTGACCACCATATTTTCCTTTTTCTGTTTCTTTTCCTTCTTTTTATATTTTTTCAAGCTAATAATTCCTAAGTTATATATTAATCTTAAGGCAAATCATTTTCTAGTTGTGGCAATATTGAATTATATGAAAACTCTACATTAGTTACAAAATCTTCATTCTCTTTAAAATAAAGGAAAACAAAGACAATATAATAAGTTAATCCTCAATCTTGGTCCCGGTTTCTTTCCAATGGAAAAATATCTAAGATTTTCAGATATATACTGAACAGGGGCTTGAAGTATGGCCAGACAGGTTGTGGGAGGGAGAGAGGAGGGAAGGCACCTCTGGCAAACAAAGGTATCTTGTTATGCAGATGAAACCTCACAGGTGACAACTCTCAGAAGGAATAGATGATAGCTTGTGGTAAAGTTTCTCTGTTAGACTTTTAAAAATATTAAGAATTTTAGTCTATTTTTCCAGAGTTAATTTTTTCTGTTAATCCTAATAGATCAGGATAAGAAGGAAGAGGAGCTCAGAGACAGCCTGGCCTTTTGTTTCATAAATGTAGATTTTTCTTTAAAAATGCAAGTATTCCTCATAAAAGACAGCTTTGCAAAGCTATCAGTATGGTTTGTAGCCCCCATTTTGAATAGTCTTATCAAAATATCTCCAGGAAGTATAATTTGGGGTAAACTATCCTGGTTTTCTTTCATTTGAAGCATAATAATTATCAATGTAGCTAAGATGTATGTTATTTTGGTTTTCTCTTACTGTGTGTAGTTAACCTATTCTGTTTTTCAAAAATAATAAACATAATGAGAGTAGCCAACATTTATGGTGTGCTTATTATGAGTTAGATGCCAAGATCATATGATAATTAACATGAGTGGTCTCTAATGCTGATCTTTAGGAGGCATTTTGGACATTTTTTCGTCATTTCTGCTAATGTCATTGTCACAATATTTGGGGGGCACTACTAGAGACAGTGAACAGAAATCAGAGATAAACCTCTGTAACGCATTAAAAAATTTCTTCCAACCTTCCATTTCCCCTTCCCCAAATATTCTAGTGTTTTAAAGGACTTTCAAATATCCAACTAGACATTGTATGGTTAAAAAAAATTTATAATGTTCTATATGTAGAATTTTACTTTGCTTGCAGTTACTGTTCTTAATGCAGATTTTTACTTCGTTTAGATATAATCAGAAATTGCCTTTCCATGCTTTTAACGTGCAAACATGTACCAGATATTCTAGAAGTGTAATTATCATGTATGCCTAGGAAATATTACATGTTATTGCATTAAGATCATTACAAAAACTTATTCAATATATTGGAAAATCCTGTTACCAACAGCAACAATAATTTCCTCATGGAGTTTGAGGAACCAGTAAAACAAACTAGGATTAGTTGACATTTGTAAGTTTACATTCAGTTTTTCTGTATTAATATTCAGAACATACAGTATTCAGTTATTGTGCAATAATTGTACAATGAACTGATTATTATGTCTTCTTATTTGTCATGTACAGGTATGTATGTTGATATCTTTATTTTATATTCCCATTTAGCTATTATTTTGCTTTTTAAAAACATATACTTAATTCAGGAAAGTAAAGCAGATATTAGAATATTTTATTACAAAAAGAGGAAAATTAGATTTAAGCATGTTCAGAATTATTAATGTACATCATCTTTCTTAAGAATCAAATTCACAATCATGAATTATAGGTTATTATTCTTATATCATAGAAGAATCTTAACCAAAACCTCCTGTCTTACCCAACAAAAAAAATTAAAGATTTTGTAGGGGAAAATTTTCATAGCCCACGTTTATGCAATAAACTAATTAGATATGACACAAAAAAGTTATCCATAAAATCTAGGTTTAGAAAGATGAATAATGATTGAAAATTTTCTCTATTTTCTGCTTCCTATGTATCTTCTATGATAATTACTGCTCACTGAAGTCAAAATACTTAAACAGCTTTAATAGTTCTATATGAATCAGAACTTTAACTGAAAAGTTTTTTGTTTTATGGTAAGTCTGAGTCATTTCTAATGCTCCCTCTAAACCCTTATCTTTGTTGATGAACTGGGGAATCACAAATCCTTGTAAAGAGAAAAACATTTGATTGTTAAGAATTTAAAGAATCTCTCCCTGATCCTTTTGGTTTTAACACCATAAATAATAGGATTCATCATGGGTGGAATAAGAAGATATATATTTGCTATAAAAATGTGGATATGTGGAGCAATTTGGTAGCCAAACCTATGGGCGAGAAAGGAGAAAAAGGCTGGTGTATAAAATACCAAGATGACCCATACATGGGAGACACAGGTGTTTAAGGTCTTGTGACGGGCAGCTTTAGATGGGAGATTGAAGACAGTTAGAAGAATAAGAACATATGAACAGATGATCAGTATGAAATCCAACCCCCCTGTCAGGAATGCCACAAGTAGGCTGTAAGCTCTACGAATCTTGGTCTCAGTGCAAACCAGCTTTATCAAGGCCATAAACTCACAGTAGGTATGGGAGATGACGTTAGTTCTGCAATAGGAAAGCCACTTCAGGAGGAAAGGATGTGGACTGAGGAGTACAGCTCCTCTGAAGACAACGGCCAAACCCAAGCCTGCAGTCACTGTAGGTGTTAGGATACTGGAATGTCTCAGTGGGTGACAGATGGCCACGTAGCGGTCAAAAGCCATGGCCAAGATAAATCCAGATTCCATGGTAGACAGAGAATGGATCAGATACATTTGAGTGAGGCAGGCTTCAAAGTAGATCTCTCTGTTGTTGAACCAGAAGAGGCTGAGTATTTTAGGAAGTGTAGAAGAAGTAAGCATCAAATCAGCCACAGAGAGCATACATAGAAAGAGATACATTGGTTCATGCAGTTTGGGGTCTGTCTTGACAATTAATATAAGGGCAACATTTCCCATCAGTGACAATAGGTAGACTAGGCAGAAAGGGATGGAGATCCACACATGGGCAGCCTCCAAACCTGGAATGCCAAGTAGTAGGAACGTGACAGGTTGCAGATTGGTCCTGTTGAAAGCTAACATTATGTAAGCTTCATCACAGATATTCCATGATCCTGTTGAAATTAAAAATTACAAAGATTGTAAGTATGTAAATACCAACTTTTTTCTTATTATGATTGTGAACTGGGAGAGATGTTGACATCCAATAAAATACAATTAGCTGTTGAATAATTTCCTCAGTAGTACCTTCTTTCAATGTATCAAATACATAGGACTCTGCATTTTGGGATAAGAAAAATTAGTAGAAAAGTATTCTATGTGTGTGTATGTGTGTGTGTTAGATATATATTTGTGCATTTTGTTAGGGAGTATTGTTCAACTGGAAAGGAAGTCATTGAGTTAAAGGAAAGACCCTTATCTTCATAAAATTAGCCAAACTGATTGGTAAGAAATTATCCTTTTATAAAGGAAAATTTTATACAGAAAATAGCTAAATCTAGAAAACATGAGTATTCAAGTTACTTGATATTTGTGTTCTTTTATAAATAATCAATCGTACTCTTTCAGAATATGTATAATATATTCCTCAAAATCACACAATACACTTGACATTAGTTTTTTGTTTTCCAAAAAAACTTTTATAACAAACTCTTGGCTCAACCTCTCAGGGTCCATCAATACATGAGTGGATTAATAAAATGTAGTATATATATACCATGGAGTACTATTCAGCTTTAAGAAACAATGGTGACATAGCACCTCTTGTATTCTCCTGGATAGAGCTGGAACACATTCTACTAAGTGAAGTATCCCAAGAATGGAAAAACAAGCACCACATGTACTCACCATCAAATTGGTATTAACTGATCAACACATAAGTGCACATATAAGAATAACATTTATTGGATGTCGGGCAGGGGGGAGTGGGGAGGAGGGGACGGATATATGCATACACAAAGAGTGTGATGCCCACCATCCGGGGGATGGACATGCTTGAAGCTCGGACTTGGGGGGGGGGGCAAAGGCAACATACGTAACCTAAACATCTGTACCCCCATAATATGCTGAAATAAAAAAAAAAATTATGGAAAAAAAAAACCTCTTGGCTCACAGATATAAGGTTATCTGAAAGGGTGCTTTGAAAAATGTGAACAATTATTTTGGAAAAATACTAAATTTTAAATTAGTACGTCAATATTTTGAGTTAATAGTATTGTACCGTAAACTAGTAATTGACCAAGAGATTAGATTTTTAGGTAATCTTAAAAAACAAACAAAACTGAAAGTTAACTATATGAGATAATGGGTATGTTAATTTGCTTGTCTATAATATTAATTTCACTGTGTGTGTATGTATGTATGTGTGTGTGTATATATATATCTCAAGGTAAGCATATCAATACATCATGTTGTACACCTTAAATATATACAATAAAAATAAATGATTATTTTGGTTCAAATATCAGCAATCAGCATATGATGAGCTCATATAATGTCCTTTAATACGAATAAAACTATGGTTATAAGAAAATTAGAGTTTTGACCAATACATTTTATGACTAAATCCTATGACTAGATTATTAAAAGTTCTGAACAATGGGTAAATCTCAGCTTGGATACTGAGTTAGTCTTCTTTTTCTATATTACTTTTTGTAGTGAAAAGTTTGAATCATCTTTCAGACAACCACAAGGTCTGATTATTACCTACGTATTACTAGACCAATAACTTCCATCCTAAGTGCCAACATTCTCTTCTCATGGAAGCACTGAATAAATCCTTCCCTGTATTGCTTATAACCTGGTTATCTTACCTCCGTAACTAGATGTTCTCACTTCCCAGCCAAAGACTGAGATGAATTCTGGCTATAACAGTTGCCCTAATACTTCTTATCCTGGGGAACCAGATCCCTGCAAGGAACATTATATATATATGAGAGAATATATATATATTCTCTCATGAGAATGCTGTATAATTGTGAGCAGTTTCACCAACTTCACCCAGTCTTTCCAGGTACAATTTAGTCTCTTTAAGGGACTCAGTCTTGTGGTATCTTTACCACCTGAGCTCTCAGCTTAGAAATCAATAGGAGAAAGTCCTTGACTCCAGGCCTCTTAAGATACTTGATTTATTGTACTTCTTGGGCTTAAGCACAAGTGGATGTTGTAAACTAAATGCTTCTTTAAACTATATGTAATGAGAGATGGAAGGAGTGGATGACATCATGGAGGGACAAGTCTATTAATAATTCAGGGTGATCATATTAACATCTTCATATACCTCCAGATATTCTTAAGCAGCTTACTTGAACTAGACTTAGCTCCAAAACAAACAAATAAACAAAAAAAAACCCAAAACAATGAAAGCTCTAAACCTTCAGAAAACTTCTTAGCCATTTTCCTATTTCTAAATCCCCCTGAACTTCATTCACTTCCTTGATTAAGTAAAGTGTATGAACTATCCCTAGTTATAGGGATATCATTAATTGTGTTTTGCTTGGGATGTTACATAAAGATTAGATTTGTTTTTCTACAGTTATGTTCCTTCTCATCCTCCTTTTCCGCCCTGTATTTCAGGAAGGGTGGACTTTTCAGGCTATGCCTCTCAGGATAATAGATCATCTTTCTTTCTGCTGGGTTTGTTAAATGGGGACACTGGCAGAAAAATATTAGGGAAGATGAAGGGAATGCCATTTCTTCCTACTTTTCACTTTTTCAGCTGCATTTATTCCATAGAACCAGATCCTGACAGAGGGGACTGACATGTTCTTAATTTCCACTGAGTATGATTATAATGCTGGTGCCTCTCTCTGTTTCACTGGCCTAGAGTCAGTGTGGATTCCAGTTGTTTCTAATTTCTGGAAGTCTTCATTGTCAAATATTTGAATCTTCAGCAATTCTATAATTTGTGTAAATAGTTGCTTGCATTAAGGATGCCCTGTACAATATATTCAAGTGCTTTCTGTTATCTGGTCAGACTCTGAATAATATAGATTTCTTTCATATAATAATAATTATAGAGCTAGAGATTTTGGTGATTGGTTTAGATTCCTTTCATAACAATTTCAGGGCTAGAGATTTTAGTAATCGGGGATTTTAGTAAAAAGAAGGACATAGTATTGTCCTCATAGTTATCTTAAAGATTATGAAGGGAACAATAAAAAGCTGCCATCAGCCTCAAGATAATAAAAGCCATATATGAAACACCCACAGCTAACATCATACTCCATGGTAAAATATTGAAAGCTTTTCCACTAAGATCAGAAACAAGGTAAAATGTCTGGTTTTACCACTTCTACTAAACATGTTACTGAAAGTCCTAGCCAGAGCTATTAGGCAAGAAAAAGAAATAAAAGACATTCAAGTTGGAAAACAAGAAGTAAAATTATCTCTGTTCACAATGACATGATCTTATAAGTAGAAAATCATAAAGATTTCACATGTAAACATGAAAAAAGGAAAGAAAACAAACACACAAACCAAAACAGCCTGATAGATAACAAATCAGTTGTATTTTTGTGTACTGACCATGACCAACCTGAAAAAGTAAAGTAAGATAAGAATTCTATTTACAATAGCATCAAAAAGAATAAAATGGGAATAAAATTAAGCAGGAAGGCAAAATACATGTACACTAAAAACTAAAAATGAGATACCATGCCATACCCATTAGGATGATTATTACAGAAAAAAGTAAGAAAATAACAAGTGCTGGTGTATATTTGAAGAAATTGGAATTGTTGAGCATTACTTGAGAGAATGTAAAGTGAGAAAGCTGCTGTGGATAAAGGGCATGGCAATTCCTCAAATAATTAAACATGCAATTACCGTGTGGTCCAGCAATTCTGTTTCTGGGCGTATACTCAAATGAAGCAAAACCAGGCACTTGAATGGACACTCAGATACCCATATTCCTAACACCATTATTCACAATAATCAAAGTGGAAACAACCCAAATGTCCATCAACAGATGAATGGATAAACAAAATGTCGCATGTACATACAATGGAATATTCAACCTTGAAAAGATGGAAATTTTGACACATGCTGCAACGTGGATGAACCTTGAAGACAATATGTTAAGAGAAGCGATCTAATCACTGAAGGACAAATATTGAATGATTCCACTTATATAAGGTATCTAGAGTTGTCAAATTCATAGAAATAGTAAGTAGAATGGTAGTTGTCAGGGAATGAGGGGAGGGAAGAATGGGGACTCAATGTTTAAGGAATACAGAGTTTCAATTGGGGAAGACAAAAAAGTACTGGAGATGAATGGTGGTGATGGTTGCAATGTGAATGTACTTAATACCACTGAACTGTACACTTAAAATAGTTATAGTGATAGATTTTATGTTTATATATGTTTTACCACAATTAAAAAAATAAAAACCACCAGTGAAATGTCCTTTAGTTATTTTCCATCTAATGCTGAAAACATAAGCAATGATTTTATACATATATTTTTTCTTTATTATTAACATATAAATATATATTAACAAAGAGAAACATCCAGGAAGGATTCCTTTGGTTGACACTGATCTGTACTATAAAAGATAAATAGGAGTGGGAAAGGCATGGAGATGATGTATAGCAGTAAAAGGTATTTGAGGAAGAAAGAAAAGCATAGGTGATAGTATGTAAGTGGAGTGAAACATAATATAGCCTGTTGTCTTTACAATTTAGTCCATAGCATTCTAATCTGATCGCATCTGCTTACTCAATTCACATAACAAAACAAGGAAATTGGAGGTCCTAAACAATCAAAGAAATCCACAGGATTGCTGAGCTCACGTAAGATCAGTGATTGTTTCAATGTTTACCAGGTACATCTGGCATCAAAGAATTCAAATGTATCAAAGAATTCTATGGTATCTTCATGCAAATTCCTTCTAAGGGAAAGATAGAAGAGAATTACTCAATAATAAAGAATAAGAGAGAGTTATGAAAATTAGTCCAAATCAATCTAATCCAAATTAAAAGGCATTTAAATAAAATAATGAATGACCATGTCAGCAAAAAAGATGAAAATGGTTCTTATCACTGTTCTTTTGAACTTCCATAAAGTTGTTTTATTCTCC